AACAGACATAAGCATGATAGCTGTATCAAGTGAAATTGCAATATTCAACATATTGGGTGCTATCTAGGACTGATGGTGTATGCCTACGATCCAGCACTTGGGTGATAGATGAAGAGGATTTGTAAGTTTGAAGCAAGACTGGTCTATATAAATGGTTTGAAACCAGTCCAGGCAGCAAAGAGAGAGACCATGTCTTTAAAAAGTTGATATATAGTTGCTATTAGATAAGTAGTCGCTAGCAGAACACGAGTATCAACAGTACATCTAATAATAGGGTTTAGAGTTGACAGTCTGGTGGACTTCCTTAAAAGTGGTTAGAAGTGAAGAGTGGCATCCCATTGGTATTGCTCCCCATTTCTCCATCTTTCCGTGTCAGACTCTTCTATCATTGTCCAAGCACTTGTTGGAGTGCCTGACAGTGATTATTAAAGTGGAACAATGGTTCTAAAAATATATATATTTGCTCGTTTCCTTTTGGCAATACCAGATATACAGCTGCCCTGTTTCCTCAAGCAGATAACATGTATGGTATGAAAGATCTATTTCTTTTGTTTCTCTTTAGCTTCCTGTACAGCAGAAGGCTGAGACTTTAGTATTACTCAGTGGCTTAACTAGAGTGTTTGTGAGAGGAAATTTAGAATGCACTTGGGATGGCTATAGGAGGACCTTGGCATTGGCTTACCACCCAGTGGTAACTGGTTCTTCTTTTTGAAAGGCTTATTGAGGCCTTTATTAACATATATTTACCCTGTATAACTGCTCACACTGTCCATTTGCTTCCTGATTAGGGCTTTGGAGTAAGGCATGTTATGCATATATTCTTTTCATCTACAGAAACAAGTCTTTTTCTGGTCCCAGAGTGCATGTACCTAATAAAAATATTCCTGCTGCTCTAATGAGGGGATGGCCTGATGGGAGAGTGAAGAGACAGAAGTGTGATGTCCTTTCTATAGTAGATAAAGAAATGTTGAGGGGCATGAAGTAGCTTAGCAATGGGTACACCTCAGGGATGTCATCTCAGCAATGGCTCCTGCCTATTCTGCAATGTTAGCAGATTTTAATTGGAGAAGCTAGAAGAGAGGTTCTAGGGTCTCCTATTTAGAGCTGATCAAGCCATAAGAGGTAACCTTGTGGTAGATTAAGAATAAGGCTAAGAAAACCATAAGGGAGCATAATATGAGACTGAGTATTAGAGATTTGGTTTAAATTCCTGACTCTGCCTCTCTGCACTTGATAGAATTCCTAAGCCTTATGTTTATTTCTAAGCCTTATATTCCAGTATGGAAAATGGTTAGAACAATATATATATAATATTATGCTAGCTGAAGAAGGTTTGCCCAGCTCCAGATTTCCCTGAATTTCCAAAGCATTTGTTTAGAATGTATGAATGAATTGGGGAAAATCCCCATCTCATATATATGGAAAAATAAGGTAAGAAATAATATAGAGATATTGGCAGATGACTTCAAGTAGACTGCCATATCCACACTCCACCATTGTTTTTTCATGTTAAAGCCACTTTACAGATAGGTACATTCTTTTCTCTAAGGAGGCATCTCTATCAAAACTATCCCCTGTCAAGACATGGAGCATTGTGGAGGGTAGTGGGGCATGTGCACAAATTAGAACAAAGATTAATGATACATGTTTATGAAAATATCATAATGCATAATGAAGTCAATTATTTTGTATGCTAGTGTCTTAGTTATTAGGTAACTTATAAAAGAAAGTATGTAATGTGGGAGGCTCATGATCCCAGAGGGTTAAAGTCTATGACCATTACAGTGAGAAGCATGGGCATAGCCATGCAGGCATGGTGCTGGAGCAGTAGCTGAAAACTTGCACCTGATCCTCAGGTATGAGTCATGGGAGTTAATTGAAAATGACACTGGCTTTTGAAACCTCAAAGCCTAACCCCCAGTGATAAGCATCCTCCAACAAGCTCACACTTCCTAATCCTTCTCAAACAGTTCCACCAATTGCAGACCAAACATTCAAATCTATGAGCATATGGGGGCCATGTCATTCAAACCACCATAGCTAATTTAAAATAGCAGTTTAAAAAAGTGTTTAAAAATCCTTTCTCATCTCTCTGATAGCATTGGCAATCTGACTTTCATTATTATTTTGGTTTGGGCCACATGGGTTTAGGAAGAGTTCCATGACTCCCTAGGTCTATTGGCAAGGTACTACCCCTTGGAATGACTGACATTTGGCACATGTCAGGATAGGAGATAAGGGAATGGCTATTCTAGAACAAAAGAAAGGAATGGTGGTAGTATTATACCTTCTTGTGGGGGAATTTGAGTTAGGTAGGTCACAAAAACTCGTAGGAAGTAATTAATGAGATCTTAAGAATTACAGAACATTGACCAAACAGAGAATGCAATGGGAAGTGTATATATACATATAGATACACATGAAGGAAGCATTTTAGGCAGAGGGAACACAATGTGCACAGACTTTATAGTAAAAGGGCCTTGGGACATTCAAGACATTAATAGAATATTACTTTGAGTTTTCAACATCCCTGGAAAATTTAGATGAGCATGTTTTGTGTTGATGTGTGAAAGTGAAAGTGAAAGTGCATCCAGCTTCAAAGCACTGTTAGAGTAGATCTGACATAGCGGAATTATACTCACTATGGTAACAACACTGGAATCATCAGCCAAAAAGGATCAAAGACCCCTTTACTATGAAGGGAGGAACTGGCCGATTGCAAACAATGTGAAATGCAAAGTTTTCCCCAATATTTTCTCCAATAGAAGTAACCATGTATGAGATGCTCAGATGGATCCATAGATCTTTATCTTTATTGGTTGGAACAACTTGGGCCTACTGTAATGAATAAAAGGCTTCTAGTAGGTGGCAAGTCCTGAACAGTATTCTGTATAAGATATGAATCAGTGAACAGGAGGACAGAAGGTGGCATTTTAAGGAAGAGATGGTATGAGCAATGTCTTAGTTAGGGTTTCTATTGCTAAGATGGAATATCATGACCAAAAAGCAAGTTGGGGAAGAAAGGATTTATTTGGTTTATATTTCCATACTACTGTTCATCATAGAAGGAAGTCAGAACAGGAACTCAAACAGGGCAGGAGATGATGCAGAGGCCATGGAGGGGTGCTGCTTACTGGTTTACTTCCCCTGGCTTGCTCAGCCTGCTTTCTTATAGAACCCAGGGCCACCAGCCCAGGGATGGCACCACCCAACAAGGGCTGGGCCCTCTGCCATTGATCACTAATTGAGAAAATGTCTTACAGCTGGATTTCATGGAGGTATTTCTTCAGCTGGCTCTCCTTCCTCTCTAATGACTCTAGCTTGTGGCACGTTGACAGAAAACCAGCCAGTATAAGCAATGACTTGGTAGCGTAAAGGCTATTGAAGTGAGAAATTTGGTAGAAACTAGAAGGCATGAATGGAAAAGCAAAGCATCATAACTTGAACCCATCTGAAACTCTTTCCATGACACATCAGCAATTTTGATGTGAAACTTAAGGTTTACTGGGTACCATGGGAATAAAAATAATTGGTATTTGTTCAAATGTAGGCTTGAAAATACAAGTTATTATAAACATCAGTATTCACATCTTTGACTTGATGTAGTCACACTAGCTTTCTGCAAGACTGTAGGATACAGAAAGATCATTGCCTATTTCTCTCCTCAGGACCATACCACAAATTTGTATAAATAGGCACCTACTGCCGTTTCTAGAGTCCTACTTGCTCAAGTGCTTTATTTTAGCAGTTAGTCATTCTAATAACTCATTAAATAATAGCTCTTTCTTAAAAGCATAGATCTGTCAAACAAGGTGACCTACTTTTATAAAATGGCAGGAGGTGAGGTGGATGTGTTTAAGCATGTGACATTTTTTTCTTATCTTTCAAATGGAAACTACTCCATTTTAAACTTAACTTTGATTACAATGTATACTTTCTAATAAGTACTAAAAGGTTAAATTAAAATATAGACATATGATAAGAAGGAAGGGACTTGATTTTGTCTGCTTCATTGCCTAATGATTCAGGACGAGGATCTTTTAGAGAAGCATATGTATGTTAATATATCTCTTTGGTTAAAAATGTAGTGCTTGTGAAACATCATTAGGCATGGTCCATAGTCCAACTCTACTACTGTCTAGCTGTGTAAGTGTTCACAGCATGTGCCTTGTCTGCCACATCATTTATAACAAGAGTATCTGGGTCATGGGATTGCTGTGATGATCAATGAGGTATATGTGTAAAATACTTAGCATAATGTTTGATATTCCATTCTCTTTCTCCTGTCATCACTGCAATTAGTATTGCTACAATGTCACCACCTGCACCAGTCCCAGCTTCCTACTCTAATAAGAAATATAGTTTTATAAGGTCTTGCTAAATCATGGACCTGCAAACAGCAAAGGAGGAAACAGGAAACTTAGTTTACATCACTATTTTCTGTCCTTCCTTTAACCATCATATCCCAAAGAAGGTGTGTCAAGAACATACTTTTATAAGGGGAAAAAATCATGGGGCTACACTCCTAGACAAAGAACTACAGAAACTAAAGGATGTTGAGAGTAGGGGAGAAATAATCTTCTCCCATGGAGGAATCCCTTAGCTGGTTATCCAATTCCAAGTGGTCACCCCTGAAATCATGCACACACGCACACACACATGCATACATACATGTACACACAAGCACTCACACAAACACCCACACCCACCCCACCCCACCCCTACACACACATCAGTAGAAATTAGGGAAAAGGCCAGGAAGAAGGGGGCGAGCAGAGCTTGGGAGAAAGGAAAGGTAATAGGTAATAGAGGGAAATTGTGTGATTACATTTTAATTAAAAATCTACTTTCAGAGATTGTATTTACAGTTTATTACCCAAAAGGAGATATATATATATTAATATATATATATATATATATATATATATATATATATATATATATATATATATATATATGAAGACAAGTTAACTTTTATGCCTCTTTCCCTGTTTCCACAGGAACCTGTAGACTTGGCTGGGCCTATTACTGTGCTGGGGGCGGAGCCGCTGCAGCCATGTTGATCTGTACCTGGCTCTCTTGCTTTGCTGGAAGAAATCCCAAGCCAGTCATGTTGGTGGAGAGCATCATGAGGAATACCAATTCTTATGCCTTGGAGCTTGATCACTGCCTCAAACCTTAAGCTTTGAAAGAAGATTTACTGAAGAGGGTGGGAAGGGGAGGGAAACAAGCCTTGGAAAGAGGTATTAAGCCGAGGCAGCCACCTACTAGTAGTGTAGCTTAGTGCTTGCATGCTTTGGAACCACTTGCCATTCATTTTCACATTCCCATAGAACTCTAAGTCCATGCCAATCTATACAATTCATCTAGTACAATGATTCTCTCACGCATTTGACAAGAGTTTCCACTGACCACACAAGTTCCATTGAGACCATTTATGCAAAACAAGATCCTTACTTGAAAAGTCACTGTACAAGCAAGAAACTGCTCAGAGTTCTATAATACTTCCTTCCCACTTACTTTAAACCTTAGATGCTGTTCAGTAGCAGTTGTACTGAGAGGCACTAGGAGCTGGACTAAGCTGGTTCCCATCCATTCATTTGCATGGCTCTCCCTGCAATATTTATTGTTACCCACAAACATATCTCGAGTATCACTATGCAAAATTTTTGTGACTTTCTCAGGTCTCTACTTTGTCCTGTTTTTCTCTCTCCTCATGCATGGGAAAGCTTGGTGGAAGGGTAACTTCAGAGGGGAAAACATTAATCATATTTGCTTGCATATAGTCTGGGCACCTTTCACATTATGCTTTAGACTATTTATAGAATTTTCTACTCTTTCTGGGCAATTGGTATCAAAATATAATGGCAAAGTATTCCCTAAACCCTTCTAGATACAGAAATGTTGTTCATTGACTATTTTGAGTCAAGGCTAACATTAGTGAGGTGTTCAATAAATATGCAGTCTCAGTGATGATGACAAGGATGTTTTCGCTGTATTCTCCTTGAAAATTTTACCAGAGTTTATTATGTGACTAGGAAGTCTGCAGTGACATTTGTCCCAGTGATCATCTGTAGTGTGATAGAAGTTTCTCTGTCTGCTTTAATGACTGCTCTTCAAATCATCTTGCTTCCATCTGGAATGAGTTAGATATGAAAGAATACAGCCATGATGTCACCTAGGGCTGAAGTATTTTTAGGCCTGGCTTCTATCCCATCTGTGATCAAGGCTGATGGATGATGGAGAATTTGGTGTCTCCCCAGGGGAAATTAGTCTCACCCCTTCCCTCAGCTCATTAAGGCCAGTGTTATTATTCCATAACTCCAGCTTTAGGGACAAGGGAAGGATTGTAATTCAAAAGGCCAGCTCATCTGTTTTTACTCCTAAACATTCCACCATCGATTTGGTCCTCCTAGAGGGAAAACCTAACAAAGCTGGCTTGATTAATTGTAGACCATACCATAAAGAGTCAGAGTTCTTATGTTTGCCTCATGCATGTAACTGATTTCAAATATATACTCCATTCACAGTCATTCATAATTAATTCATTTAGTCATTCATTTAGGAAACATTTCTTAAATATTCAACACTCTGTGACAAGCACTAGGCTTCAATGATGAAAATAGTTTCTCAGCCTAAAATGAGTAGTGGTGAGTTCTCAACCAGCTTGTCAATAAATAATTGTCAATGTGTTAAGTGCTAGGAAAGTTAAGGTTGTGGAGGGGGGGTTAGGATCACAAAACTAAGTTGGTGGCTTAAGGGATGATAGGGAAGTCTTTTTTTTTAAAGTGATGACTAAGATGGGTTTGAAAAATGAAGAGAGGGAGCTAATCATCAAAGGGAAAGGCGCACAGGAACAAAAGCCTGGGGACAGAGTGAGGATGAACGCCAAGTTTCAAAACAAACTGACAAGGTGCCCCTATAAGGAAGGGGCTCCTTGTCACTCAGACCTGCCTCAGCTGAAGGTGCCAGGCTCTGCTGACTCCCCATGGAGCCTTACCTTTTCACCGGAGGGACTGGAGGTTTGATGGGGGAAAAGGCTGGGAGCAGGGTGGGAGGAGGGAAGGGAGGGGGATCTGTGAATGAATAAAAAATTTCTTAATACAAAAAAGAAAAAAAAACAAACTGACCAACATGGCACTGTAAGGGAACAGTAGCAATATTCTGTGTAACCCAAGGTAATGAGTTCGAATTGTAACCTAAAGGATGGCCAGGGAAAAGGAAAACACACGAGTGCCTTTGTGTTCGTCCAAAGATCTACAGCAAATAATGAAAGAGGATAGGGAAAGGCTAGAGATATTTACATAATGGAGGTGCAAAATGAATAAATTGGGAACAAAGGTTGGAAAAGGGGAATGAATACAACAAAAGATATAGATTGAGCCTTTCCACTTCAAAATCCTTCCAAATCTAAAGTAATTTAAAATTGTTGTCCTCAAAAATAAGTTCCAGAGCATTTCCCATTCTATGTTTCTTTTGGGGATTAAGAATGAGCAATTTATATAATACATGCCAACATTCAAAATCTAAACAATTCTGAAAATTCAAAGGCAGCCTTGGCTGTATAGAGAGTTCAAGACCAGCCTGAGATACATGAGAACTTGCCTCAAAAAAGAAAAATAACAAAAATTACTCTGCAAAACAAAATACAATAATGTAAACAGGTATATTTATTTGTTGTTTATTAGCTTGGACATAGGTAATTTGGTTCTCACCGAAGTAAACTGGTAACATCTTAAAACATATGTGCAGTATTTTAGTTTCATATTTCAACAGTTTATATTGTTGTGTGTTTTTTATGATTTCCAATGTCACTAAAACATTAGACTAAATTTTTGTTGTCAGAGTAGAAACTTCAAAGGGGATCCAAAAATGCTAGACTTTTAAATACACTTTTAGTGGGATTTAGCTTGTTGAATACATAACTTTTTAAATTGAAAAAAATTGGAACACTTACGGTTGCAAGCATTTTGGATAAGAGATACTCAGTTATGTTCCTACAAAGTCAATTCTTTGTCAATACATGTAGGTAAGGCCAAGTAAAAGTTTAGAATGATCACTCTGGAATATGGGTGATATCAAGATGGGGATTATAGATCATAAGCAACTGATGTTCAAATTCATGTTGAATATGAATTCCTCCTAGAACACAGATTGATTAAATATTTAAAATAAAGCATGTTGACAAAACTTTCTGGAAACAAGTGTATCTTGAGTTCATAGCATTAACTTACCCAAGTAAGATGATTCAGTATAGCTAAAACAAAACTTTAAACAGCTCAATTCTCACATTCATTTTGTAAACATTGTAATGCAATCTTAATTTAAGAGGGCACAGTCTATGAAGAACACGTTAAATGGTCAGGAAAAGGCAATTCATCTAGATTATCTCACTTTTTAGGATATGGAAATTTCTGGAATTCTATGGGACAGAACTTGTGCAGGCGAATGTATATAATAGTATCCTGGGGAAATCACCAGCATTACATAAGGAGTTTAGATAAGTGTAACAGAAGAACACATGATGGTATGTGTCAGGTAAAGGGCACCCACAAGCAATAAAAATTGACAGGCATAAAAATCTTAGGAATAGAAGGGTAGCCATTCCCATTGTTAAGACCGAAGGAGTAAGGGAGGAAACGGCATTATTGAAAGCCAGCAATAACTGTATTGAAAGAAAAGGAAGAGGCCACCTGATAGGAGTTGTGGCTTTAGAGAGTACAATGCAGTTTCTACCTAAATGAAACACAAAGGGAAGGAGACAGGGTATCAATACATGTCTCACTCTCTTCCTGTTCTGATAGTCATCCAGTGCTCACCATTAGCCTGACTCAGCCAGATGCTAAATGGCAAGGAAATCTTTGCTATTGTCCACGGAACTCAACTTCCTTTGGTGATGTGTGGGTAAACTGAAAATAACAACTCCATGAGTGGTTTGTACTCTGCCAACTACCATTTCCTATTATACTGCCTCCAAAGACGTATCTATTTAGCTTCACTTTAAGCCCAGCTATCTGAACACAGTGAAGTAGTCGCACTGACTGGGGTAGGGATTGGGTGGCAGCACTAAGAAGGAGGATGTTAATTTGAAAGAACCTTGAGAAAGGGGACTACAAGGAATGGAGAGAGGGGAAACTGCAAAAAAAAAAAGAAAGAAAGAAAAGAAAATTTAAAAAAATGAGTTGTAGGTAGAAGACAGAATTTTTCCATATGTTTTTAGGAAAATGGAACCATATTTGAAAAGGATTTTCCTCTTATGAAGCAATCAGTCCTGAACAACTACATTTTCAGCATGAATTTAAAATTTCCCTCCATATACCTGGTTCCATTCCACCAACCCTTGTTTTGTCATAAGTGTTGGACTAAACTTGTTTCTCCCTACCTCTTACCCCTGTGGTCGGGATTATACTCTTGAATATGAAATTTGTGTCTTCTGGTTGCAATGGTGTAGAAAGGAAAAAGAAACCATAGGTCTGGTGGGATTCTGAATGAGTGAAAAGGGGACCCCAGAGACCCCACTGTTTGAGCAAGAAGGCTTCGGTGAAACAGACACTTTAAAAATTGTCAAAGGAGCCTCACTATAGAGGATGCTGATCCCTTCAGAATGTTCCAGGGGTATAGTAGTAGTCAACATTTTGTGTCTATAGCAAGCTGTCTGAGCCTATTTGCTAAGGAAAGATACTTATCTCACAGTTGTCAAAGTTCAAGGTCATGATACCTGCATTGGCTCAGCTCTAGTCAAGGGTCTCTTGGCGGTATCATATGAAGATGTATGGCAACAATTAAACTTAGTGTACCTTGTTACAGGATCTAGAGACTCAAAGTTTGGACTCAGGTTTTTATAATATTTTATTCTCCTGGGAACTGAAAGAGAACCATTTAAAACCCTTCCAAGAGTTTATATCACAACATCCAAGAACATCCCACTAGATCCAACCCAGTAAAAGATCCCCCTCCGTAAACCAAGTTTTCTATTCATGGGCCTTTGGTTGAAAGAAAAACCACATTGTAACCATGGCAAATATTTTCTTTAGAGTCTAGGATTCACTCCCCATAGCAATAAAAATGTGTATCAGTTTCAAGAATAATTTTATCCCAAGACAGCTTAGTGATGGGAAAAACAAGTTTCAAAGAAAGTAATAGTGGATGTATTTTATAAGAGGTGGAAGATATCCTACTTGGTGGCCTGGGGGAAAGGTATGCTATTTCTAGAGTTCACAATCAATCTCCAACCAGGCCCAGTAAGCAGGATCCTTCCAAGGAGTCATCTCCACTCCAAGTCCTTGGGTTGAGAATATTTTCAAAACTGGAGGGGGTAGAGCCGAAGGATAATTTATCCCTGGCCTGTCCCACAGATGTAGAGAGAAGCATTTTCAGCTTCAATTTTCTTTTTGTCTACTTATGAGATTAGACTCTCCCAGGGTTGATCTCTTTTCTAAACGCATCAAACCCCCACTGAGTCCTCAAAGCTAACAGCAAATAAACAGTTGCTATGTGTGCACACAAATGATTTAAACTTTCATTATACGGAGCTGCTGATATGTAAGGAGGCAAAAGTAGGAGGAGACAAAAATGTTTGCCTGGTTTTGACTGCAGTGCTATATGCTGCTACTTCTCCTTCTCCAAAAGGAAGCCCTAGAAACAGTACTTGGGAAAGGGACACTGATGCCAGGCTGCATGCACATGGACAGCACCCTGGTATTGGCCAACTTTTATGTAGTCCCTCTACTATTTAAAGGTACAGGGCAGTTACAGATAGGAAGTGGAAAATATTCAAGAGCAATAAAATAGGGTAAATGAAGAACTAAACATCTTCCTTTCAGAAAAACAGTGCTGCCTCCAACTCTTGTCTACTAGAATCACATTTGGTGCAGTTTTCCTTAATAAGGTATCTCTTGTTATTGTGTGCAGTTAAAAGACTGTCCTCTTAGGCAACAAAGCAGAGTGAATGTAGCTCAGGTTTTATAGCCAGGCAGATATAGGTCTAATCCAAAATATTTCTTAGTTGTGTGCCCTGTAGTCACTTTATTTAACTTCTCTTAGTTTCTAAACTTTCTAAAACATGTGGCCTGCTATTAACTATCTTGATCTTCATTCCAGCAGCTCTAGGAAGTTCTAGTCACATAGTGGCATGCCATCAGACTCTGCAATAGGCTATGTGCTTTAATGTGCACCCATAAATGAGAACCACTGAATAAAATATTGATGCCCAAACTATCATCTCAAGGGAAAATTTCTTGGAACTCCAGACTAATGTGTCCAGTTTCCTACTCCACATGACTATTTGGATGCCTAGTAGGCTTGGTAAATTACATGTATTTACAAACAAGATCCAAGCCTTCTGTCTTAGTGTTTTATTGCTGTGAAGAGACACCATGATCATGGCAACTCTTATAAAGGTAAAACATTTAATTGGGACTGGCCTACAATTCAGAGGTTTAGTCCATTATCATCATGGCAGGAACCATGGTGGCATGCAGGCAGACATGGTGCTGGAGAGGTAGCTGAGAGCTCTACCTCTAGATCTGCAGGCAAGCAGAAAGAGACAGTGAACCACTAGGCCGAACTTGAGCTTCTGAAACCTCAAAGTCCACCTGGGCAGTATTTCCTGAGAGTCAGCACACAGACACTGTGTTACAGAGGTAGCCAATGTTGTATCTCAAGCTGGCAGCTGAATTTGGTAGTCTAAGAGTCACCCAAGTGGTACTGGTTTTGAAGGCATGAAGGGGTCATGGAGAGCAGCTGAGGCTTGGCACTGTGAGAGGCCAGGAAAGGCCATTGGTGAAGGTGCAGCCTCGGTGGCAGTTGAAGGTCCAGAACTGAAGGGATCATACAAAGAAGTTGAGGCTTGGCACCATGAAGAGAGCCTATGAGAGGATACTGTTGAAAATTCAGCCCAGTTGTGGCGGAAGACCCCAGTGTTTTGGAGATGCCTGTACTATGGGGTGACCAGCATGGACAGCAACAGCAGTGGTGTGAAGCCAGCCAGAGCATAGAAGACAAGCTGTGTGTGCTGCAGAG